TGTGTCTGTGTCTGTGTCTGTGTGTATGTCTGTGTGTGTTGTCCGTGCGTCTGTGTCTGCGTGTCTGCGTGTCTGTGTGTTTGTGTGTCTGCGTGCCTGTTTGTCGGTGTGTCTGTCTGTCTGCGTGTCTGTGTGTCTGTGTGTCTGTGTCTGCGTGTGTGTGTCTGTGCGTCTGTGTGTCTGTGTGTCTGTGTGTTTGTGCGTCTGTGTGTCTGTGTCTGTGTGCAGTGTGCGTTTGTGCCTTTGTGTCTTTGACGTTGGTGTCCGTGTTTCTGTGGGTCTGCGTGTGGCATTTGTGCTTTTGTTTGCTCAGTCGTTGTTGGGGTGTGAGATGATGATGTGGTCCAAGACCCCAAGGCCGAAAGACCAAAGACCAACACTCCAAAAGTTCCATAGAGGCAGTGGCAATGGGCAATGGGCAATGGCACATAACAAGATGTAGGCACTAGTGCAAGTCATGTCAGTTGGAAATTGGCAATAGGTTCCCTCACTCAGACTCAAAGTAAGCGAGTGAATAAGTTAAGTCTCAGGAATTGACGGAGCTGATCATTCAACATAGTGCTACTGCGCAACAAGAAATTTGCATGTAAGTAATGGTCCAGTCTAATAGACTAAAAGTAATAGTAATAGCCAATAGCCAATGAGTCAATGAGCCAACTGCAGCCAGTGCATACTTCATAACTACGATTGAGTGTGACCCGGTTGGGTACTACGCAAAAACGAGCCGCAAGTCAAGTGCTGGCCACCGACAACCCGAGCACGCTGCATGGCTGTCGCAAGTGTCTGTAAGTAAGGAGGCAATGAGCGAGGTGACTCGACTTTGTCATTTGAGTATAATAATAAGGCTGTAGTCTAAGTATAACCAATGACCTCTGTCACGCTAGGGCCAGTCTAATGTCTAAAGTGCGTCAGTTGTCACTCTTCAAGTTTAACGCGAGACTCTGAAAACAAGTGTCAAGTACCAGTGAAGGGGTCGCGCTTGGTCACGCGAGGGCAAAGTCACACGTCACCTTGGTACCGAAGCATCACGAGAGAAGTGCTGCGTGATGTAGTGCGTAGCGTGCTTGCTTTTCACTCTTTGCCTCTTTGCCATAGGCTCATAGCCTCCGAACCTCATAGCTCCACGGTCCCAATACTCCAAGGAGGACGCTCTTGTAACCCTACCCCTAGCGCTGCGCGCCTAGTCGGTTCGTCGGTTCGGACGCAAAGGCAAAGGCCTGGCAAGGCAGTGGAGGCATTGGCAGTGCACTTGTGGCTATGCCCAGCGCGCGGCATGAGTAGGAATCAGTACTCGTCAGATAGACGCGAACGTTGACGTTTGAGCTTGACAGATTTGAATGTTTCTCTTTCGCTTCAGCTGTTCACAGAGCTTTACTCTTGTCCGCCAGGTCTCCAAAACAACAGCCGCTGCTGCTCGCAAAGAGGTGACCTTTGGGGACGCTCTGGCTGCTGTGCAAGCCCACAGCAAGTGCTTCCAGCAAGCCCAGGCTGCTGCGAAGGCCTCAGAGACAGACAAAGACGAAAGGTTTGAAGCCACCAAGCTAGGATCGCCAGAGCTGCTGGGCTGGCTGGCGAAGCTGGGGGCGAAACTTGCTTCAAAGCTTCGCGGCCTTGGAAAGCAGTTCATCACAGAAGGACAGGAGGCTGTCGTAAGCAGTCACAAGCTTTTGAAATCGCTGCCAGCTTTCTCCGTGGCCCGGGAAGCAGAGTACAGGGAGACTTTGTCTGCCAAGCACAAGAGCTTTGGTGCGCAAGGAACGCAGCTCAGGCATGTTGCCGCGGACGCGAGGCAAGCCAGGAAGGCAGTGGAGGCGATTTCAAGCGCTGTTTTTCTGAGACCGGAGCCAACGAGGAGCAGCAGACGCCCCTGCTCGACGCTTGGACGTCCCTAGCAGAGCAAGCAGAGGCCTTGGGCAAAGCTTTGGTGACGCACCTCACTGTGTTTGCTTGTGTGACCCTACTGAGATCTCCGGTCGTTGGGGCCAAGAGTGACGCCGGCAAGAAGCTTGCAAGGAACCTGCAGGACTTGCTCCGCACGCTCCTAGAGAAAGACATGCCGGCGACCCCTGAGCACGATCAGCTTCCAAGAGATCATGTTCTGAAGCTTTGCAAAGACTCTGAAGATGCTGCGCTGTCCTCAGTTTGCTCGGGTTCAGGGAGTCAAGGAGAGTTAAGACAAAGAGCAGGGAGCTCAAGCACAGACAGACTGTCTCAGCTTTGACCAATTGCCAAGTGCCTTTTGCACTCCTTCTAACTTGTTTGCTTGCTTGCTTGCTTGCTTGCTTGCGTGCAGAGTTAGTGCGGCCGCGCGCCAAACCCTTCCGTAACTGTTGTAGCAATGTAAGAGCAAGCTGTGTAAGTTGATTAATATTGACTATTGATATTGACTAGGTGATGGAGTCATGAATCCGTGAGTGCTGTCCAGGTGCTAGCCACGCTGGGCAAGTGCGGGGTCAGCGTGGCAGCGCAGTGGCCGAAGGTTCTTGAAGCAGCCGAGTCGATTCCGCGACTTGAAGAGCTTCTGGCAAAGAAAGGCCCTGAGACGTCTCAGACGGTGGAGGGACAAGGTAAAGCTGCGGTCGAGGCCAGCGAGCCTCCGGAGCCCAAGCTGCCCGAGCCGTTTCCTTTCGCTCCAGAGGAAAGCTCTGGACCGGCAGAAGAGAGAGAGCCCAAGCCGGAGCCTGCGGCTGAGGCGACAGAGGCCGAGGTCGCCGGGACACCGCGTTATCAGCCCACGAACTGAGGACGCAGTCTTAGCAGAGTTATAAAGAGCACAGCCTGCTGCACAGTCCCAAGAAGGGTGATGATGGCGTTCTTGTCGGGCTTGCGGGCACGCTCCCAAGTGATGAGAAGGATCAGGATGGGGAGGAGCCTCCACAGGCAGCAGCAAGCAAAGAGCGGGAGCAGCCACAAGGACCACAAGGAGTCAGCCCAGGGCAGGACTTGGACAGCGCTCGGCTTGAAGCAGCTGCGAAGTCAGCAGCTACGGCTGACAAGGAGCGCCAGGACGCTGACAGGCAGGAGGACGTGAGCAAGGACAAGGACAAGGACAAGGACGAGCACGAGGACAAGGACGAGGACGAGGACAAGGGCCAGGACAAGGACAAGGACGAGGACGAGGACAAGGACAAGGAAGCGCAAGGAAGCAAAGCTCTCGGCGACGAGGCTTCCAAAGAGTCAAACGAGAAAGAGACAGACAAGAAGGAGAAGGACAAGAAGGACCAGAGGAAGGAGAAAAAGGAAAAGAAGGAAAAGAAGGACAAGAAGGATAAGAAGAAGGACAGGAAGGAGAGGAAGGAGGAGGGCAAGCAAGACAAGGAGCCCAAGGAGCCCACAACCAAGAAGAGCGCAAAGGACAAGGGCCAGGGCCAGAACAAGGAGAAGAACAAGAAGAAGAGCAAGAAAAGCGAGGAAGGGCAAAGCAGTAAGCCGGAGAAGGAGAAGGCAAGCAGCAGCAACAAGCGGAAAGCCCAACAAGAAGAAGACGTAGCAGTAGAAGAGGAGGCAGAGAAGTCGCAGGAGTCGCCTGCAAAGTTGTCCAAAGCAGACGGTCGCGGTCGCGGTGGTCGCGGCAGAGGCGGCAGAGGCAGCCGAGGCGGAAGCGCTGTCGGCAAGGCCAAGGCAAAGGCGAAGGCGACTGAGAGGACTCTCGAAGCGAAAATCGATACGAAGAGCCGCGTCAGCTTGGCCGCTCTCTTCGGGAAGAGAAAGTGAGAGCGGTCTCTGACCTGCTGAGCTTGCTGCTTGTTGACTTGTGAAGTTGTTGTTAAGTGTTTACTTGCTGTTGCTGTTTGCCAGGGGTCTTTGAGTCATTGACAGTCATTGGGTCATTGTGAGTCTTTGTCAGTGAGAGCAGCAAAGGCCAGAGCAGCGGGTGTTGGCAGCGCTCAGTGCACAGTCACATTTTGTACAGACAAGAGCCTTGGGCCAGCCATCCGCCATCATCCATCGGCTTCTAGCCTGGGACGGGTCTGAAGTATGAAGACTCCACCCAGGCCTAGGACAGCACTCTTTCTTTCACTTCACTTTCACTGACTCAACAAGCACTCCTTCGCTCAGGATCTAGGATCCAGCGCCGAAAACCGAAAATAGGTCCGCAGTCCATACTCCATGCTGCGTAGGCTTCCTTTTGCGCGCTGTGGCACAGTGTGTCGCGACTCACGAAGCCATGATGACGCGTCGCCGCTGCCTGCAGTTGGCTGAGGCTCTTAAACGACTCTTTGGGCTCTTTGCCCTCTTTGCTGCGCTTCAGCAGTTTTGGCAGTCCGCTTGCTAATTACTAGACTATCAGGCTTTGTCTCATTGACTCATTGACGCGCATTCACACTGTCACATTAGTCACATTCGTCACATTGACATTGAATTTCTGGCTGTGCACTTAGTTTCGAATTCTAGATCACGTTGCTTCTTTAGCCTTAGCTTTTCGAGTGTCTGGCAGTAGGGTGCCGCAGGCTGCCCCCGCTCAGCAACGCACTGAAAGGGCCATGTCACGAAATTTGAAGCCGGCTCCGACAATTGCGCCTGACAGTATAGAAAAGTGGATGGAAGAAGGTCGCTCCAGAACCATGTCCCCTGAAAGTTTGCGTGACGGCACCTGGCTTCTCCAAGCTTCAGAGGAGAATGCCCAGAGCTGCCGCGACATGTCAGGCCGGCAGGCGATGCCACTGAGGCCTTTGCGGTCTCTGACCTGGGGCTCAGCCTGTAGTGGCTCCGAAGGAGTCAGGTTTTGCTTTGAGGCCTTGGCGCTGCTCGCGCTCTCGCAGGGCAGCCAGGTCCGCTTTGAGCACGCTTTCAGTTGTGAAAGCAACCCCGACAAGCTCCAGTGGATTGCGGCAGTGAACGCCTTGGCCCCCCAGGTGATGGCTTCTGTTCAAGAAAAGGCTGGAAGGACTCCGTCTGGCGTCGCCCACACCCGAACACCCTGTTTGTTTACAGACATTTGCAAGCTTGGGGAGGAGCATTGCGCGCGCGTAGCGCACAGGCACGAGGCCCGGACAGACACACAAGGCTCGCGCGATGTCCTGTCAAGTGGACAGGCGCTCAAGGTCTCTGACCGTGCTCCACTCCCCGATGGCCACTGTCTCGTTCCTCAGGTGGATATTTTGGTAGTGGGCACAAGCTGCAAGGACATGTCCAAGATCAACGTTGCTGCTCGCCAGCACGCCAACGCTGGCGCTCTCGTCCTGTCCGGCACCAGCTCGAGAGGAGGATCAGCTCAGACTTTCCGAGGCATGCTTGCTTATGTGGACTCACGCTCCCCCAGCATCATCATTTTCGAAAACGTGGACTCAATCGATGACAAGATGGGCGCCACAAGCAATTTAGATATCTTGCTTGCCGAGATGGGCAACAGAGGCTACGAGAACCAGGTCATCATGAGCGACGCGGCTATGATGGGGCTTCCAGCCAGGAGACGTCGCGTCTACGTGATCTTCCTGAAGATTGCAGGCAATCCACTGCTAGACTTCTCTACCAGATCAGTGTCAGCAATGTTTACCACTTTGCGTGCTGTAATGTGCAGCTGCGTGCGAAGCCCATGTTGCGCTACCAAGATCTTCCTTCCCCCGTATGATCCAGCTGTGAAAAGCTATTTGGAAAGTCGCCGCGAGAAGCGGGAGAAGTTAAGGGAGGCGGCCAAGAAGTCTGGCCCAGCGCACCACCCTTGGATGAACCAGCACCTGGCCTTCGCAAGAGTTTTGAAGTACCGCTGGGGCCAGCCAGTTCCTGAAGATCTGAAGGCCAACGAGTGGTTTGAGACCTTGACAGACCGAGAAAAGGACGTCGTGCGCTTGACCCGCGCGCAGAGTCCAGACCTGCTTTTCCGGGACTTGTCGCAGTCCATCGCCAGGGCCAACGAGACGACGCTGTCTGAGGGCTTGCACTGCCTTCCCACGCTTCTGCCCAGGATGCTCTTGTGGTGCGAGAAGGAGCAGCGCCTCTGGCTGGGCCGCGAGGCCTTGATTTTTCAGGGCTTTCCTGTGATCCCGTTCTTACAAGCATACGAGGATGCCCCCAAGCGGCCTCAGGCCTGGAGCCCTTCCGAAGCTTTGATGACGGACTTGGCAGGGAATGCCATGTCTCTCCCAGTTGTGCTGGCAATCCTGCAGAGTTTGTTGACGTCGCTTTCCTGGATGGAAGAAGCTGACGCAGATGTGGAAGCGGAAGAAGCAGGCAAGAGTTTTGGTGGCTCTCGGACAGCGCCAAGAAAGGTCATCAATGCCGAGGACTGGGTTGCGCAGCCGCGGGCCATGCCGCCATGCTATTGCCATATTTTGTCTGGTTTCTTTGGAAGTCCTAATGTTTCAAGTAAGTCAATTACAATTACTAACTGCCTTTGTCGTTTGAAACTTGCGGGCTGGTTGACAAGTTGACTCATGAGTGGCGCGCAGGATGTCAATGAAGCGCTGTCTGCAGCGGGGCAGCTCTCTGAGCCTGATCGTGGGTTTCTGAGATCTGCCAGCAGTCGCGGTCAGGGTAGTCAGGGTAGCAGCAGGTCCCAGCTCCAAGAGCGCATCTTAAAGCGAGCTCGGCTGGCAACTACTAAATCTAAGTCTCTTCACTGATGCAGAAATTTACAGAGCAAAAGCAAGACCGACTCGAGTTGCGAGTTGACAAAGACGTGCTGTGATTGCACCGCGCGCTATAGGCATCTATAGGCTATAGGCTATATCGTCTCGGGCTCTAGTCTGAGTGCAGCTACGTTACATTACATTTACACTCACACTCAAATGGGCCAAATGGGGCGGGCAATTCGGGCTATTCCAATCTGAAGTCACATATCAGCCATTAAGTTTCAGATTGATAAGGCTTTATATAGATTGATAAGGCTTTATATAGATTTCTAAGTATCAGATTTACAATTACTATTACTACAATGTGTAATATTATATATAGTATACACACATTGTTTTTTTTTTTTTTTGAAAAATTGTTGGTGCGCTTTCTGAATGTGTAAACTTTTTCATTCAAAAAAGTTGTATGTACCAAAACATTTTGAAGATTTTTGGTAAAAAATGTTTAATGAGTTTTTACAAGCTTTTAAGGAAAAAAGCCATACAGACGCAGCCTTATGTCCCCTAAATCCACAGGCCTCTTGAAATCACCCAAGCAGTTTTCATTGCGGGCAGGGGTGCCTAAAACCATCGTTTTCAATATTGAAAAATCGCATTTTTCATTGTGGGCACGGACAAATCCTGTGGTCCCCCTTCTTTTATTTTAGTGGGCCTTTTGAAGCTTTTGAAGCCTTTTGGTGGCTCTTGGCGCCTCTTAAAAGCTGGGTGCGCGATTGGAGTTCCGGGGCGGGTAGGTCCCGGCTCGGCCCGGCAAGGGCCCTTGGCCCGTGCCCTTCACCTGGTGGGGCGGGCCGCCTGGTTGGGGCCGCGCTTGGCGCGGGGGGCCTGGTTCAGAGCCTCGCTCTTGGTGTGGGCGGGCCACCCTTGGAGGGCCGCCCTTGGGGGGCCCAGTTGTGGGGGGCCCTGGCCCTTGGCCTGGGGGGCCCCTGGCCCCGGGGCGCCCTTGGTTCGGGAAGCCCTTGGCGCGGGCGGCTTGGCCCGGGGGCCTTGGCCCGGGGACCCCTGGGCCCGGGGGGCCCTTGGCCCGGGGCCGAACCTTGGCCCGGGCAGCCCTTGGCCCGGACGCCCCTTCACCCGGGGCCCTTGGCCCGGGGGGCCCTTGGCCCGGGGGCCCTTGGAAAATGGCTCCATCTCGCGCCGAAGCGTGTCTGCACGACGTAGACGCCAACGCTGGCCGGGAGGGCTCACAGCTTGGCCCGGGGGGGCCCTTGGCCCTTGGCCCGGGGGGTGCTTGGCCCGGGGGCGGCCCTTCCCTTGGCCCGGGGGGCCCTTGGCCCGGGGGGGGCCCTTGGCCCGGGCTCTTGGCCCGGAGGCCTGGGTCCTTGGCCCGGGGGGGGCCCTTGGCGGGGGCCCTTGGCCCGGGGGGGCCTTGGCCCGGAGGCCCTTGTCAACCAGCCTGCCTGCACCCCCTCACCAGCCTCCTGGTCCAGGAATCCAGCCACTAGGGGCCAGGGGGCCCCCGGGGGGGGGCCGGCAAACCCTGAACCCAAAACCCTGAACCCACCTCCAGAGGCCAAGGTTTACGATTTGGGGTTAAACTTTAGCTACGCTAAAGGTGGTCTGGGTGCCGGCCATCCCTTAGCCGAGTACTGACGTTGTCGTAAAAAAGGCCGATGTCCGTTGGCCTGTCCAGGACAGACGGTGAGGCTTAACCCTCACCTTTCCGTTTCTCTTTTCGCTTGGGCGCTCGGGCTGTAAGGCCCTCGGCCGAGCGTTCGGGGTCTGTCGCTCGACGGAAGCGACCCCTCACTTAGTTTAGGGCTTAGGGCTTAGGGCTTAGGGCTTAGGGCTTAGGGCTTAGGGTTTAGGGTTTAGGGTTTAGGGTTTAGGGTTTAGGGTTTAGGGTTTAGGGTTTAGGGTTTAGGGTTTAGGGTTTAGGGTTTAGGGTTTAGGGTTTAGGGTTTAGGGTTTAGGGTTTAGGGTTTAGGGTTTATGTTTTAGGGTTTAGGGTTTAGGGTTTAGGGTTTTGGGTTTAGGGTTTAGGGTTTAGGGTTTAGGGTTTAGGGTTTAGGGTTTAGGGTTTAGGGTTTAGGGTTTAGGGTTTAGGGTTTAGGGTTTAGGGTTTAGGGTTTAGGGTTTAGGGTTTAGGGTTTAGGGTTTAGGGTTTAGTGTTTCGGGTTTAGGGTTTAGGGTTTAGGGTTT